CGGGGTTGGTGGCTGAGGGGGTGGCACCTCCGGCTGCGCTGGGGAGGGCGAAAGAGGCCATGCTGGGGGTTGGGGGGGGAATGGGGGTACCCCCGTGTCCCTGTGGGATCCCTGTGCCCCTATGGGATCCCTCAGTCCCTGTGGGGTTCCTCATGCCTCCGTGGATCCCCACACCCCTACTGTGCCCCCAGGGGTCCCCCATGTCCCTGTGGCGTCTCCCATGCTTCTGTGGGATCCCTGTGTCCCTGTGGGATCCCCCATGCCCCTGTGGGGTCCCCATGTCCCCCTCTGTATTCGCACAGGATCCCCGTGCCCCCAAGAGATCCCCTAGGGGGTCCCTGCACCCCTGTGGGGTCCCCTGCACCCCTTACGCAGTCCCCATGCCGCCCCCCCAGCTCCAGGCTGTCCCAAAACGATGCTCCCCTGGGTCCCCAAGGCTGGGGACTGTCCCCCCCACCCCGAGAGGTGCCAGCCCCCCTTTGTCCCCCTGTCACCCCACTTACGTGGCTCCTCGGGCTGGGGCCAGACTCTCTCGGGTTTTTTCCTGCTCGGGGGCTTGCGGGGTTTCTGCTGCCGCCGGATGTACTCGACTGGGGACAGAAAGGGGGTGGCGGTGACTTCAGAGGGACGAGGCGGGGGGACACCCCCTCCCTCCTTTCCTCCAGGCCGGGGGACCCCGGCGGTCCCCCCGCCCGCGCCCCGGCACCGTACAGTCCTCGTAGTCCTCCCGCTCCAGCTGCTCGTTGTAGTCCAGCGTTGGTGGCTCCGGCTCCTCGGGGACCTCTGTGGGGACGGGGCGCAGGGTGGCACCGGGGAGCAGGGAGGTGGCATTGGGGTGCAGGGAGGTGGCATTGGGGTGTAGGGAGGTGACACTGGGACGCAGGCAGGTGGCACTGGGATGCAGGGAGGGGGCATTGGGGCACAGGGTGGTGGCCCCGGGGTGGAGGGAGGTGGCCCTGGGGTACAGGGAGGTGGCCCCAAGACACAGGGAGGTGGCCCTGGGGTACAGGGAGGTGGCCCCGGGGACAGGGCACTCACCAGGCTCGGGCTCGGGGCTCCAGTCCTCCCGCCCCGGCTGCCAGGGCTCGCTCGGTGGCTCCTCCGGCTCCCCTGGGGACAGGGACACAGAGCGAGGGGCTGGCGGGGCCCCCTGGCAGCCCCCCACCGAAGGAAAATCCCGTCGGGAGGCAGGCTGGCGGGGCGGAGGGGTGACCCCGGCGGGACACAGCCCAGCCCGCCCGGGGGGGCCACCGGGGAGACGGGCGGG